AGAGCAAACACGGGCAGGATGGAAATCACACACGGCCGTGCGACCCTGGCCGTGTGGGAAGCCTGAAGTTTGAACTAATTGGAACGCAGCGTTTTGACTCACACGGGCAACTGGGTATGCCACACGGCCGGGTGGCCCAGCCCGTGTGAGTCGGGAATTCCTGGTTTTAACCCAATTTCGGGCTGCAAGAGAGAGGATCGGATTTTTGAGCAAAAACAGAGCCCTAGAGAGAGAAAGGACGAAGAACACATCCTAGAAGCTATCTTGGAGCTGGGTTTCATCAAATCAAGCTTGGAGATCGTCATAGGAGTGGAAATCATCATCCCACAGCAGATTCTTCCCATAATTATGAGTATGACTGCTTTGTATCTTGTTTTCCTCTCTCTCTCTATGGAGTAGAACCCCTCTCTCACTTGGGGATGAAGAACCCTAGTTCTATGTGTTAGGGATTGATTGTAATGACTTGGGATGATATTACTGTTTGATTTGAATCGAATGATGCATGTTTATTGAGTAAATTGAAGTCTGATCATCTTTTCCTGATTCCTGCTGCAATCTGAGATAGATAGAATCTGATTAGGTTGCTAGAGTCTCATCATTCGGTAGTAGGAGATTGGCTATACGAGAGTTAGCCAGTGTACTGCTTTGTATTGGAATCTAATTCCAGTAGTGGAGTTCTGTTCTTACTGCTTCAGCTTTCTATCCCGGTGAAGACTAGTCGTCTGCCGGGTAGATAGACTGAGAGGGCTTGGTCAGTTTAAGAGATTCCAAGCTACTGTCGGATCTTCCGCAGTCTAATCAGCAGTAAATCAACCCAGGGAAATACAATTGAAACCTAACTAAGGAGCTAGGGGGACTCATTCCCGAGTGACTCTTACCTGCTTGAGAAAACCGTATCAATTCCTGCTTTCTTTCTGCTTTTGCTTTAAACAACAATCACTTACTTTAGTTGGCTAGATAATAGATAATCACTGAGTAAGCAGTAGATCTAGACCCCGGGTTGATAATATAACTTGCCTATTACTGCATTCCCGGTCTGCGATTACACTTGGTCACAGATTGGTGTTGTGTTTTGGCGTGTCAATAAGCCCACCAGCAGCAGCTTTCCCGGTGTCAGAGAGGAACGAGCCATCTGTTTGCACCTGGAACCAGCCAAACCTCCGGGGTTGCCATGAGACCTGCTTGGTCTGGGTGGTTCTGCTCGCAAGAGTCGTGGTCTTCCTCACCCAACTTTCAGCATTCTTGACAATAGCTAGCTAGGCATTAATCCTACAAATGAGTCCCATGCCACTGAAGCTCTTCCCTCCATAACCTCATCGTTTCTTTGTTTCCAGAGGTTCCAACAGACAACGCCGAACTGGATGCCCTTTTCATCATTCATCAGGTTCGACAAGATCCAATCTTTGAAGATGGAGCCATGGTTCCCGTCTTTAAGCTTGTCCTTGAAGTTGTGCCAGACGAATCTACTTTCTCACAGCCGCGGAGAATGTGCTTAATCGATTCTTCCTCAGCCTTGCAGTGATTGCATAGGCTGTTGTCTGTGAGCTTTCTTCTAGCTCTTTCGTTGTTTGTCATCAATCTGTCATGGAGGATCAGCCACAAAATATGTTTAATTCTGCTCGGACCCTTCCATTTCCATACCTCTGCCCAACATCGATCAGGCTCTTGCTCCTCCGTCGCTGCTGCAATAGCATAGGCCGTTCTAAGCCAGAACCTTCCATCGCGTTCGGACCCCCAGATAGTCTTGTCCTCCCTTGAGTGAGCATTGGGCACTTCCACACCTGCAATAAGATTAAGGCACCAATTAGGGAGTAGGCCATTCAATCTGTCCCAGTCCCACTCACCTTGATCATTAAGCCAGAAGGAGACAGGCACCATTCTTTCATCATTGGTGATATTAGTAGTGAGGTAATCTTTGAGGATGAGCCCATGGTCGAGCCAGGGATGGGACCAAAATCTCGTGGACTCTCCGTTTCTGATGCTCCAACAGCAGCCACTCTTCATAAGAGGCATAGCCTTCAGGATTGCTTTCCAAAGGCTTGAGTGGTTGGTCTTCTTCATCGAGGAGATCGCCCCGTCTTTGTGCTTGAAGTACTTGCCTTGGATGACCTGCACCCAAAGATCAGAATCGTTATTGAGAACCTGCCACGCCAACTTGATCATGTAAGCCATGTTCAAGCTGCGGGCAGATCTCAAGCCAAGGCCACCCTGGTCTTTAGGTTTGCAAATCGAATTCCAGGCCACTAGATGAGACTTCCTCTTTCCAACTTGAGACCCCCACACAAACCCCCTAATCCTTCTATCGATTGCATCGCAAACAGAAGCAGTCAGAAGGGTTGTTTGCATAGCGTAAGTTCGAATGGCATTAAGAACCGCAAGGGCAAGGGTGACCCTACCAGCTAAGGAGAGGGATCTAGCTTTCCACGAGGTCAACTTGTTATCCATTTTCTCCAAAATATACTTATAAGTGTTCTTAGTAAGTCTACCATGAAGAATTGGCACACCAAGGTACCTCCCAAGATCAGTTGTCGATTCAATTCCAAGCCTATCACAAATCTCATTCCTAGTGTGTCTGTGAGTATTCCTAGAGAAGAAAACTCTAGACTTCTCCTTACTGACAAATTCACCAGAGGCACAACAGAAACGATCAAGGTAGGAAATGATGACATCAGCATGACTTAAGTTGACTTCAGAAAAAAGCACTAGGTCATCGGCGAAAAAGAGGTGGAAAAGATTAGGACCCCTAGCTGATAATTTCATTGGTTTCCATCTACCACATTTAACATCATCCAAAATACAGTGGCTAAGCCTCTCAATGCACAAGGTAAAGAGGTAAGGGGAAAGAGGGCATCCCTGTCCGAGGCCGCGCGAAGGTCTGAACTCTTTAGTCTCTCCCCCATTCCAAAGCACCTGGAAGCTTGCAGTAGAGACACAGGCCATGGTGAGACTAATGAAATCTGGAGGAAGGTGAGCCTCCTTAAGAGTTTCCTCCAGGAAATACTAGCTGATCCTGTCATACGCTTTAGCTAACTCGAATTTCAGAATCATGCTTCCTTTCCTCCCAGTTTTCCTAGCCATAGAATGCACTGTCTCCTCCAAAATGATAATGTTATCAGTAATGTGACGCTTTGGCACAAAACTTGACTAGTAGGTGTAATGATTGTTGTAGTGGTTTTATTTTATTTATTATTTTTTTAATATAATACTATGATTGTTGTGGGTGCAATAATTGTGATAGGGGCGGCAAAGAACATGTCAGTGGGTATAATTTTTGTCTTCTTTTTATAGGAAATTTTAATAGGGTGTCTATAGGTGTTTAATAGGGTGGCTAATTGTTTTTTATGTTATTTTATTTGGTGGGCATTTTTGGTTAGTGGGTTTGAGACTAATGCTGGGCAGAGAATGTAGACACATGGAGGGTCAAGGCGTTGTCGGCAAGCCTTCTTTTGTCAGGCGTATTGGGGTTTTTTCTGCCCTCTTTCAATAGCAGAGAATGGAAATTCCGTCTATTTTTTCCCTCTTTTAATTCTAGGGTCAATCAATTGAGGATTTTTCCCTTTCTTCCCTCTCAAGACTCTTCCATTCAAGGTTGTCAAACCGGTTTATGCCAGTGTACCGGTTTAGCAAGTGGAATGGTTCAACCGGTGGCACCTACCGGTTTGTGCCGGTTCATGCCGGTCAATATTATAAATAACATTATAAATACTCATATTTAAACATGACATTTAACGTCAATAGCTAAACATTTATACTTGAATCCAACAAATAACATCAATATTTAACTTTTATACTCATAAAATAAACAATAAAATATTTTTATCAATTAAATTCTCTAAAATAAGATCATTTTACTTTAGAGATTCGTATATCGATCATGTCGGTCATACTGGTAGTGTCACGCCGGTTTTATTGCCGGTACCGGTTGAACCTGCTACAACCGGTGACACGCCGACTGGCGTGACAACCATGCTTCGATTCATATATCTTTCTCTCTTTCTTTATCACAATAAATTTGGGCTTCCTTTCCATTTAGTGATGGCAATTTCAACCCGCCCCGCGGGTATTACCCGACATGACCCGCGATGGGGCGGGTATTACCCGACCCGCAGTAGCGTGGGGTGGGGCATGGGTATCTACTTCCGACCCGCCCTGCCCCGTTCTAGACTCATTTTATCTCAATTTCTTACAATTTCTATACATATTTCTCCTATTTTGACTTTGCTTCAACTAGTTAGAGTCACGCTTTCAACTTGTTAGACTCAATTACCCATTCTATTATCACTATTTTTCATTCTTATAGTGTTTTTTCCTTCGTTTTATCGTAAAAAGTAAAATTTACTTGTATTTTTTTCGAATAACATGTAAGAGTGGGTCGACCCGCCCCGCCCCGTACCCGCGCGGGTTTTACCCTCCCCGACCCATAATAGCGTGGGACGGGGCATGGAAATTGAGGTACCCGCCCCGCCCCATTGCCATCACTATTTCCATTGTGTATTACTTTCTCTCCTTCTCTCTCTTCTCATCTCCCCCTCCTCTTTTATAATAGGGTCAAATCAGTAATAATTTTCTATTAATCAATTAATTTTTTTATCTTTCTTCGCCACTTATTAGAGTCTCTCTATCTCTTTCAATTCTGCAATCAATATACTCTCTCACTTCTTCTTTTCTTTTTATTGGTAAAAAATAGGTGCTAAAAGGGCACCCCTGCCTTGGCACTTAATTAAACGAGATTGGGCAATGCCCATCGTGTCATACAAGATCCAAAAATTAGGGCTGGATCTGAACAATCGATCAAGTGAAAACCAACTCTAGCGGAGTGAGCTCTATTAGCTAAATAGTCCGCCGACTTATTACATTCTCTGTAGATGTGAGATAACTTAACCTCCCAGTCTTTTTGAAGCCTATGCTGAACTTGTTGAGCTAAATTGTAGAACCTCTCATTTTCATGGTCTTTCGATTTGAGGAAGTTGCAAGTAACCATGGAATCCACCTGCAGATGTACTATCCTGTATCCTTTGTTCCATGCGAGCTCAAGTCCATGAATTGCTCCTTTAATCTATGCCCGGGTAATTGTACACTTGCCCAAATTAATCACAAAGGCCCTCAAGCACCTTCCACATTCATCTCTAATGAGTCCCCCGGCGCAAGCTTCTGAGTTAGGTTGCAGTACTGATCTGTCGGTATCATGGTTATGAAAACTGGGCCGGACCGTCCGGTCAGACCGGTAAAAACCGGACTCGGACACAAGTCCAACCCCGGCAGTCAAAAAACGGCCGGGCTGCTAAAATTTAACTTGTGCCTGCAATTTTGCTATCTGTTAATTAATTAATAATGTAAAGTAAGAAGAAAAATAACTGTGACCCTACCCCTACTACCCTATAGCCCACTACTTCTAGCGTTTGGACTTTTTAAATATTCTTACTCTATATTTTCAATTCTTTTTGAAGCCAAGTACCGGTTTATGACCGGTTTTTAATACCGGTTAATCAACGGTTATCCGATAAACCTTGAACCTCTCATTAATTCGGATCGATGTAGGGTTCGGTTTTGACAACACTGTTCGGTATTGATAGTCACCCATCCCTCAGTTGGTGGGGTCCAAGCAAGTTTGACTGTTCTCTTTACGCTCTCCGAGCTAGTTGTCAGCCTGTCGTTTGCCTGCGCCTGTTGCACTGTCTTCGTCCAACAATGGATCCTTTGAGATAAGCTGTGAGCATCTTGATACTTCTTTTCAAAGGTCCATTCGTTCCGCCGTTTCCACAAGTACCAAGCTCCCACCCCGAACAGGAGCCCCATTCTTGCATCGTGTAAGTGCTTTGCCATCTAGCATGCAAAGTTCAAGCCACGAGTGAGAGGTGTGTCAACTATTTCGAGCTGCTGCCATACCTTTTTTGCTTCAGGGCATTCTCTAATTATGTGTTTTGCGGTTTCCGGGGTGAGTTTGCAGACATCGCATTTGTCATCAGTACAAAGCTTCATCCTCTTCCGCTCGCTGTTCGTCATCAATCGATTGTGGAATGCTAGCCAGAGGAAGTGTCGTATCCTGTTCGGCCCGCTCCATGTCCAAATTTGCTTCCAATCATGTCCTGCATCTATTCTGTCTTCTTCCTCCGATTCATCCTTGAGCCAGTCAGCAGCTGCCCGGTACGCAGAGCAGAGCCTGAACTTGCCATCGTGCTCTCTGCCCCACAGCGTGATGTCTTCCCCCAATTCAGGCATGGGCACTTCGGTACCTTCAATCAAAGGAAGAATTTCCTCAGATACATGGGGGGTTATTTTAGACCAGCACCACTCACCAGTACTGGTCACCATCTCAGCTACTGTATCTTTCCAATCTATCCCAGCTCCATGGTTGGTGACATGGTCCTTCAATATTATTCCATGCGCTAGCCAATAATCGTTCTAGAAGTTGATGCTGCAACCACCCCGCACGTCCCGGATAGTTTCTTGTTTCATCAACGGTAAGGCGTTACGGATACCCTGCCATAGTCTGGATGTTCTCTGATGTAGCAGAACAGTGTGGCCATTAGTATCTTTGTGCACGTATTTCCACTGCAAGACCTTGACCCACAATTCTTTTTTATTGCTTAAAAAATTCCAGCCAAGTTTCAACATATACGCCATGTTGAGGGCTCTGGCCGACCGTACTCCAAGCCCTCCCTCCTTCGGTTTAAAGATTGTCTCCCATCTAACCAGGTGAGCCTTGGACCTTCCTTCTTCACCACCCCAAACGAATCTCCTGATCTTCTTATCGATAATATCACAGATAGACATGGGCAGAACAACAGTTTGCATTACATAATTAGGAAGCGCATTGAGAACAGAAGTAGCAAGGGTTACCCGTCCTGCGATGGACAAACTCTGCATTTTCCAACCTGACAACCTTTTGTCAATGATTTCTATGATAAATTTATAAGTATCCTTGGTGACTTCCATGAATGACAGGGACTCCAAGGTATCTACCCAGGTTCTTGGTTGGAGGTATCTGCATCATGGCACTGATTCTGTTTCTGGTTTGCTCTTTTGTATTTTTTGAGAAATAGATGCATGACTTTTCTTTGCTCACTTTCTCGCCCGAGGCCGAACAGAAACTGTCCAGACATTTCAATATCACCTCTCTTTGACTCATTTCAGCTTCCGCAAACAATACGAGGTCATCTGCGAAGAAGAGGTGGGTTAGGGGTGGTCCTTCTCTAGACAAAGAAATCGGTTTCCAAAGCCCTTTCTCAGTTGATTCCTTAATGCAGTGATTAAGTCTTTCAATGCATAAAGTAAATAGATAAGGAGATAAGGGACATCCCTGTCTAAGGCCTCGGGAAGGCTTGAATTCGTCTGTACAACTTCCGTTCCAGAGCACTTGGATCTTGGTTGTAGTGACACAAGCCATGACTCTCCTCTGTGCCATTGAATGGATGACTTCTTGCAAAATAATGATATTGGCTGTGATGTGGCACTTGGGCACGAAGTTTGTTTGGTTGTCTTCTGCTAGTCGTGGCATTAGGATCTTAATACGGTTGGCCAAGCACTTGGAAAGTGCTTTGTAACTCACGTTACAGAGGCCAATTGGTCGGAACTGTGCCATATTCATCGGGTTGTCTACCTTTGGCAGCAAGGCGAGTAAAGTGGCATTGCAGTTTTGAATGTTGGTTGGGTCTTGAAAACAGGAGGTGATATACTTGTAGAAATCCGCTTGGATTATCCCCCAGCATTTCTGATAAAAGACCGCGTGAAATCCGTCTTTGCCAGGTGCCTTTAACCCCCCCCCCCCCCCCAATTTCCTTGATCACCCTTCTGATTTCCTCTATGGATGGTGCTTCAGCTAGATTTCGCGTGTGTTCCTCCTCCAAGATCACTAATCTGGCCGGTAAAGCATCTATTTGGTGCCCCTCGTCTGTAAAGAGGTTAATGTAGAAGTCTAACGCCATCCTCTCCAAACTCTCTTGATCCTCAATCCAAGTTCCATCCTATGCTTGAAGTCTTAAAATTTTATTCCTCCTACGCCTCACCATTGTTGATATGTGAAAGAAGTGAGTATTACTATCGCCATGAACTATCCAGTTGGCCCGAGATTTCTATAGCCATAATAGTTCTTCCTACCATAGGGTTTCCTCCAACTCTTCTCTCACTTTATTCTCTTCATCCTTAGAAGCCGAGCAGGGAGCTGTGTCATTTTTTGCTTCGAGATGGCTGAGCTTTTTACTGAGAGCTTTCTTTCTTTGTAGGATGTTACCAAAAACTTCCTTATTCCAAGTGAGGAGAGTGGCCTACAGCTCATCTAATGATTGGATGAACTCACCTCCCTGTTTCCATGACTTCTTCACGGTGGGCTGAAATTCCTTGTGAGTTAACCATGGTGCAAGGAAGTGGAATGGCCTTTCCTACCACTTTGACCCTTTAATAAACTTGTTCAGGATCAATATCGGTCTATGGTCCGAACAAATCCGGGGGAGATGGGTATTGACAGTGTCTGGATACTGATTCAACCACTCCTGGTTACAAAGACCGTGGTCGAGTCTTTGGGATAACCTTCCATTAGTACAAGAAACCATGGTCTGGAGTAGCCAATGTCGAACAACCCACAGTCTGATATACGCTCATTGAAGTGGTAGGTTCTCTGGTTGTTGAACATTGCTCCTCCCTGCCTTTCCGAAGGACCACTAATGGAGTTGAAATCTCCTAGGATGAGCCAGGGTAAGGACACCGTGGTCTTCAGCTGTCGGAGAGAATCCCAAAGGGGAAGTCTATCATAATCATTAGGCTTCGCATAGACTCTTGTAATGATGACTTCCTCCTTATCCTGCAAATCATGACAACGTAGGTGTAAGAATTGGGAACCCTTATCAATGATAGACATATTGTGATCAGTAGCATTCCAAAGAACGCAAATCCCTCTGGAGAAGCCTACTGCATCCACAATCTCATGTTTGTCAAAATCCAGAGTCTCAATTAAATCTATGGCATCCTTACCGCTAATCCTAAGTTCTACTATGATGGCAATGTTCGGTCTATAATCACGTTTGTAGTCGGTAAAGACGGCATGCAATTTGGGGTTTTTAGCCCTGCGACAGTTCCAGCAGAATATACTAATCATTGATAATAAAAATAATACTAAGAGCAATAAAGAGTAACTGGAAAGATGCCGTATCGTCATCCAGCAGAGTTCTGTGCGGGTTGCGACCCAGTCGTCGCCTCCAGGCCCGACGCTTGCTCTGACTCTTCCACCATCAGAGTGACTCCCGTAGGTTCCGCGCTATGGCGCTGAGTTTCCTCTTCCTTTCTTCGTGTCTGGGCGATGAATTCTTCGATTTCTCTTGCCAAGATTTGAAAGGGTGGGATTTTGCCCCTTTTGGTTGCTTCCCTTTTAGCATTCCGCGTAGCTTGTGCAACGTACGTTGACTGTTTTCTGGTTTTTTGAGCTTTGCTCCGGTCTTCTTTTCTCGAAGTGGAGAACGTTGCGGCGAGCAGAGGACTTTCTTCTTTGGATAGTGCTTCCAAACGGATGAAAGGTCGGGGTTTGGATCATTGTTCTCCTTGTCTTTGGGCTTTGGGAGATCGAACCTTCCTAAGATTTCAGCTTGACGATCCTCGGTTGGGCTAATGTCCTTAGACGGTTGCTTGTTCTGTTGGGCCTCCCGGGATATTATGTTTCGTTCATTAGTTAACTAGGCCTTGGATGACGACGAGCTTTCCACCACTCCTACAGGCCTCCAGAATTGCGTTATCACCTCGTGACCGTTGCCAGCAGGTGACCGTTCCACTCCTTCCTTTCCTTTCCCCTTTTGTGTGTTAGTCAACCCTTTCCTCTGCTCTGTTTTTCCACCATTTTTTCCTTTAATTTCCTTGTTGGTTGCCTGTACATTGGGACCAGATCATGTCAGTATCCTTGTTATCAGTAACTGTCAGTAAACCAATCATCTGTCCCCACGTGTCAGCTTTTTCTTTTTATTTAAATTAAAAACGGAGGCGCACTAAGGTAAAATTGCACCCCCTATTTAATGATGTCTCTGACGCGCTGACGCTGACGCGCTGACGCGACGCGGATCCCACTTCCCACCCCACACTGGTTGTCTGGTTCCCCCTTTCTCTCACTCTTTGTTTTATTTTATTATTAAAAGAAAAATATATTATTTCTTCTCTCTCACATCTACAACAAAAATGAATCTAACCATCCTAACTATCTCTAAACTAATTCCAGCTCAAATTGAATGATGATTTTTTCGTTAAATAATACATTGTTAAAGACACTAATTACAAGTATAAATATGATTATCACTTTCTACTATCATGGTAAAACATGGTAAAATATGTTGAAGAAAATTAAAATTCTAACTACCATACAATACCACATGGTAAAACGTGGTAAAACATGGTAAAATATGTTGAAGAAAATTAAAAATCTAACTACCATACAATACCACATGGTATAACGTGGTAAAACATGCTACAGAGATTTACAAATCTAATTACCATACCATACCATATGGTATAACATGCTAAAATAAAATTACAAATCAAACTACCACCACATGGTATAACTTGGTAAACCACGCTACAGAAAATTATAAATCTAACTAGCATACAATACCACCATAGTAGAACATGGTAAATCAAAGGACCACAAATTAATTATAATTACCATATAATACCACATGGTATGAGAAGGTAAAACCATGTAAATCTAATTACAACCCTCTACGACCATAGTAAAAACATGATATTCATAAAAATACATTTCGTTACCATACATTACCATATGGTATGGTCACATTACCATATGGTATGGACACATTACCATATGGTATAGTGTGGTAATCTCAATATATATATATACAATTACGACTTTCTTCACTTTCTTCTCTCCCTTCATTGTCTTCTAACTCTTCTTTTTCGGAACTGGTGTCGATTACCACCCACTACCACCATGATAAAACTCGTGACTATAAAAATACACTTAGTTAGCACACATTACCATATGGTATAGTGTGGTAATATCAATATATATTCTCAAATAAGGGGAAACAGAAGGAGGAAGAGGGAAAAAAATTCGTCTTCTGTCTCCTCTCATTTACTCCTCCGCAATGAAGAACACCAAATGCAAAAAGAAAGAAAAAGAGGAAGAAGATCAGAATTAATTCACAAACAAATACTAAAACACAAAAGATGCAAACTCAACTCACCTAGATCTGTCCCCTCTTTGACAATATGGAGCATCATCGATTTTGAGGCCGAGAAAAGAAAAGAACAGAAGGAAGGAGCAGCTTGAGAGAAGAAGGATTTGGAGCATCACCGAATTTGAAGTGGGAGGCTGCAATTTTGTTGGACAAAAAAAATGAAGAACAAGAGAAGAAAGGAGATTTAGATCCGGAAAAAGAAGTTTGGAAGAGAGAAAGGAAGAGAGAAAGAGAAAAGAGAGAGGAAGAGAGAAGTCTGCTTTTTCTCTTTCCTCTATTAAAAGACAGACATATTAATGCTTGAAAAATTTAAAAAGGGAAAGAAATCAAATTTCAAAAATCGGACAAAAATACCCCTCCTTGTTCCGCGTGCAGCCCATCAATATAATAATTTCATTCCTAGATCTACGGTCCGGATTTAATACTGATAGGTCAGTAACCAATGGTTATTGACTCTATCCTCTACCCTGTACGCTAGAATCATGCTTGTGTGTCTGTGACTTTCCTGAATTTGATCGCACCGAGATTGCGCCCTTAACGGACGGATTTCCTTGATTTTTTTCCTGATTCGCTTGATTTGAGTTTCCTTTTCTGCGATGTTTGCGTACCACCCGCATCCATGGACCGTAGCCCACCGGCGGCTCCGATGACTGGTTAATCGGCGACGACAAGGTTCCGTTATTGTCTGGCGTGTCATCGATTACTGGTATTGGAGAGATTAACTTCTTAGGGCAAGCATCTTCCATATGGCCTATGCGGCCGCATTCGTAGCAGATTTGAGGCAAGTTTTCGTATACCACCGGTTGCTAGAACCCATCGAGACGGATCCGAGTAGCCAGAGGTTTGGTCATGTCCAAATCCACCGCAATTCTTACGAACTTGCCCCATAGTAGGTTCTCTGTGTGGTAGTCGAGCTTAACCGTTCACCCCATCAAATTACCCAATGCAAAGAGGACTTCCCTATGGTAAAAATGGGCTGGTAGTTTGGGCAGCTGAACCCAGGCAACAACCGATCGATGCGGTTTATCTGATGTCCTGAACGCAGGTGTCCATTCATCAACCACCAGATAATGGTCCAGTATCTCCCAAGGGCCTCCTGTGAGAGCATGGAGGTAGTCTTGATCTTTGTTGAAAGTGACCAAGAACGTGTCATTGTTCAGATCCATTACGTCCATCATGCCGGTCGGCCGCCATTTCCATCGGAGTTGTGAGCATAAGTATGCATACTAGACGGAGTGTCCCAATAGTCGGACCACCAGGGTTTTCTTCCAGGGTGAGTAGAGCTTTTCTTTGAACTTCTCCGATACCTTCAGCTCTGGTTCCCCGACGAAAGAGCCCGCTTCGAGATCATGCTCCCCGACATAAGTCCATTGATTCGCAAGTGTTCTGGTTTCTTGTGGTTGGCCAACCAATGCAGATCTGTAGTTGAGGGCAGGGAAACTTGCTGGATTAGACAGGGAAGAGAGAGCTTTAGCGTTCGGCCTTTGTCCTGTGTCCGGCGGACGACCTGTCAATGACACAGCCGGCGCTGGGGTTTGGACGGAGTTCTGATTCATTGAGAGAAAATTTCAACTTTTGACTTTCATAATTCACCCACTTCTTCTTTTCTAACTAAAAACAACTCTGATCCAAAAAAGAAGCATTCAAAACAAAAGAACTCACCATTGATGCAAGGGCAATGACGACGCAGAAGCAAGAGGAAGAAGAAGGAGCCGACGTTTAAACTTTAAAGAAGAAGGTTAGTTTCCTTTGTTTTGCGTATAGATATTTTCATTTTGAATTTTGTTGATTTTAATATGTTCTTCTTTTATTCTTTGGGTCCGATCATTTCAGAGTTTGTGGAGGAGAGCCACCTATACCGATTGGCGGAGAAGGCAACATGGCAGGCGTCGGAGATGGTGGCGGGAGTTCCGGTCGTGGCACACAAGCTTTTTGTGGAAGATATGGGCGGGAGGAGGGAAGGTGTAGTTTGGTGATAGAGACATCGGAGGTGGTGGTGGTGGACGAGGGGGGCAACGGAGCAGGACAGGAAGAAGTGGATTCACCCATCTAGATGAGTAAGAAGAATTCGCCGTCCAGGAAAACGATGGAACTTCATTTTTGGGTGGTTCGGTGGACGCTTCTGGCTTCTTTTTTGGCCAGGCAGGCAACGATGGATTGAGGTGTGCAGGGAAAGGATGGAAGAAAGGTGGGTGGAGAGATTATGGGGTCATTTCTGGGCAGGGGATCATTGGGATGTTGATTGAGGGGAGTCAAGGAGGTCGTCAGTAGAGCGGCGGGATGAGTTGGAGGAGGAAGGCGGAGAATAAATGAGGCGGCGTTGAAACACAGAATGACGGGGAGAAGATGAAGAAGAGGCATTGGTTTTCTTTCAGTTTCTGGCACGATGGGTTATGCGACAATGATGTGGTAACTGAGAAAGGGGGATCGGTGGGATTGGGATTTGGGTCGATCGCCTCGCCTGGGGACGATGGTGAAGGGCGACACAACACAACACAAAGGGGACAGAGAGAGGTAAAGGTACATGTATTCCAAGGCTTGGATTCAATTTATGCAGCGTAAAAATAACGAGATTCAAATCTTTACCGGGTTCGTTACTGAAATTTTACGCCGGTGGAATTGGTTTTGGCTGCCGACGAGGACCGAAGGAGACCACTACTCCATGGAATTGAAGAGAGATGTGGAAGAGATCGTCATCGTCTCCGATACAGGTTCTTCAATCCTTCTTCTTTTCATTATCTGAATTTCTATTGAATTTGGAAGTGTTTGCTCTGTTTTCTTTTAAGTTATGTGAGTAGCGGAAAAATGCAGAGCTGGCGAAAGTGGGGAAAATGCAGAGAGGCCTCAAGCTTGGCTTGCTTTCAAGATATAAGTATTCCCCACAGAAAACTCTAGGGATTTGTTGGAAGGTTTGCCAAAACTGTTTCCAAACTAAGGAAATTGTAGATTTGTTTCCCAGTATAAGTATTGAGGTGAAAGATTGACGAAACCCTTGATTGGTTGCCTTTACTTGCAGATTATCACTTTTCAAAGCATGTTCTTCTTTCCATTGAGTGTATAATCCAATCCTTTTGCATCTATTGCAATTATCAAGTTTTGTGTTCTGTTGTAACTTCAAAATTTTCTTCTTTTCTTCAATTACATGTTGTGTACTTCCCATAGGCTCCCACTTTCTTGCTTTTGGTTTGGAATATACCATTCATTAATAGTTAGTGAGAAAAAATGATTTGTCCTTAAGCACATCCAATATCGGTAATGGGAGCAAGGATCTGAGCAACTGATCATGTGGCAAGCAAGAGTCACAAATATTAAGCGATATTTGATGGATTTAAAAACAGCTTCTTATCTTACATTATTATTAGTATAATAAAGCCGGGTCCAGTAGGCTGTGGTCGGGTGTACCGTAAGCCTTATGCGACCCTTTTCCCAACCGTTTCTTACTTTGGTCTCCCCGGGTAGACTGCCTGGCGGCTACGCAAGTTGTTTCGCTTCCCGGTTGAATCAAGTGATACTCTCTCGGATCTGGAAGAAGCAAGCGGAGAAAGCTAGACACCAAGATCTAAGAAGCAATTTATTTCGATTTTCATCCCCTTTACCCCATTCCTTCTGCCCCTCCGTCGATGTCCTGTTCTCCCCACCTCGAAGCGCCGACATCCCATTCTCCCCCCCCTCTGCCCCGGCGGTCCGTAGATGAACTATTCGATAATGGCAATTGTTTGACAATCGCAGCAGTACCTGTCCTCCAGAGCAACGAAGTGGCAAGATTCCTAGGGCTCGATATGGATTTTGTCGATCCCTTGGAACCGGTGAATTGAAGCGTCAACGTTCCATTCTCCCCACTCTTTCTGCCGCTCCGTGCCTCTTTACTTTGACATAACCTCCTCCCCAAGCAACAGCCACCCAACAGTTTTGGCAACAATCATCGAAGATATCATAGAATCAGCGAGGCAGGGGAAGAGAAGGGGAATTCCAAGGTTTTAGTTTCACGACCATCACCGATTCCAATCGATCCCTCAATCTCATCAATGTAAGTAACTATTCAGTGGGTTCCATGTTCAATTAATTGACTGTTCATCGTTGAATAATGAATTCTCCAGCTGCTTCATAGTCCCTTCCCCAAACGGTACTAATGCCTTTCAATTCACACTGTGGATAATTGACGAACTATGGGCCTTCTGTTTTCCTGCAGATGAGATTGCATTATCATAAAAAGAGGGCAAGTAATTAGAAGGAGAGAGTAATTGGAAGAAGCCACCACAAGTTGTTCGACATGAAGATGAAGAGGAGAGGGACCACGAGCAACCGATCAATACCAGGAGCAGGTCTTCTCTCTTTAATTCATTTAGAACTCTTGATGCTGGCCAAATTTAGAAAGCCAATCAGGTACAAGTTGGGAGGTGGGGTGGTCGAAGTTATGGATTCAATCTCAATAAAAGAGATCAAGGGTAAGCTACTAATTTTTTGAAGGTAGGGAGACTTAGAAGTGATTAAAAGAGAACTGCATGGGAATGGAGTTGCAATTGGCAATTGTAGATTAAAAGTATCAGGAGGAAGCAAAACAATGACAACAGTGAGAACAACAATGGAAAAGAGAAAAAGTTATGGAGCTAATAAAGTGACATTTGTTGCCATCAATTATCCATCTTCTCCACGTGTAGTGGGATGTCATTGGTCCTCTTGGTGAATAATGCAAGAGAAGGGAAGGGAACTTATGGAGTTATGTCATCAGAAAGAGGAAAGAGGATTTGTGGATTAAGATTAAGAAAATAATAGGTTCACTGTTAGACAAAAGTTGTAGAATGACCGGTGAGTTATACTTTTACCGAGATCAGTCACTTATTTTCGCCAACTGCATATTTATTTCCTTTTATTGTGCAGTTGCCAGATGTTGAGTTTCACGAATGGGTCAAATTCTGTTTAGCTCTTCCTCTATTCTTCCAGTAACCCTCCTTTCCATTGAGGTTTTATATTTACACATTATAGTCATTACCTCTATTCTTGCTGATATTTAGGGGTGTCAGAATGGGTTCGGGTTTTCGGTTTAACCCGAAACCGAACCGAAAATGAAACTTGATGGGTTCGGGTTCTCGGTTTCAACCCGAAAGTGTGATGCTCCGGTTTCGGTTCACTTTAACCCGAAAACCGATAAGGAACCGAAAAACCAAATGTTGCTTAGTTATACGCTGTCGTTTTCTGTGTAGGGAATAAAATCTCTCAGATGGAAAGAAATTAATCAGCTCTGCCCAAAAATTATTCCATCCCCATCATCCAAAATGGAAGATCTCGAAGGCGACGATCTGAATCTCAGCTTGTCCATCCCCGTCCGTACGACGGATCGTCGCACCGACAGCGGCGGCGGGGGATAAAGAGGAAGCGATCGCCGCCGTTGCCGCTGCTGTAGACCTCATCATCGTCGACGACGACGAACGGCAGCCCGAATCACGACGGCGGAAACATCAAGGGGAAGATCTTCCGTCTCCTCCAAATGCGCGAGCAGATAATCAAGCGGCCGCGAACTGACACGACCCATCATCGGAAATCTCCTCCGCCAGCAGAGGACGAAAACGACGGCGGGAGCAAGGAGGGACTCCACCTGATACACTCGCTCCTCATCGCCGCCACGGCGGTCGACGAGGGGAACTCCGATTCCGCCCTCGAGAACCTCGCCGAGCTCTACCGGACCGTGTCGCTGGTGGGCGTCTCTGTTCAGCGGGTCGTCGACTCGTCGCCCACTTCGCCGACGGATTGTACAAACAAAAAAATATAAAATTCAAATTACAAAAGCATTAAAAAAAAATTAAATCGAAACAGGAATTGAAATCAACACACAGATTTACGTGGTTTCCTCGTTCTGTATGAACGAGACTAGTCCACGGCCGAAGCTAGGTTTTCTCTTATTCAGCTTAACCTTACAGGTTCACTTACATACATATTTATACAAACTAGGGTTGAAACCCTAGATCACTTACTCGGCTAACCCTAAGTCACTTACACTAATCAACCGTGACTAGGGTAGTGGGCCGAAGCCCATACATACTGCTCAACAGCCTCCCCCAAATTGATGAGGATCTCTCATCATCAATTTGCGAGAAAGGTAAAAATGTCGACTAGCCGAGAACGACTTGGTTAGGAGATCGGCAATCTGGTCTTCAGAAGTGATGTAGAAAAGTCGGAGAATGCCATCACGAACCAAGTCTCGTATGTAATGAAGATGAACCTCGATATGCTTCGTACGATCATGAAGCACCGGATTAGTAGCAATCTGAATGGCGCTCGTGTTATCCACATAGAGCTGAAGAGGAATAGCACAAGTCACCCCTAAGTCACCCAGCAGTCGCCTAAGCCAGACCAGCTCAGAAGCCACATCCGACATAGCACGATACTCAGCCTCGGTAGAAGATTTGGATACCCTGTCCTGCTTCTTACACCTCCATGAAATGAAGGACTCACCAAGACGAATACACCAACCAGTAGTCGAACGACGAGTATCCACACAACCAGCATAGTCAGAGTCAGAGAAACCCTGAAGGTCAAGAGAACCAGATGACGGAAGGAACAACCCCACCTCACGAGTACCCTGGAGGTACCGCAATATACGATGGACAGCAGCAAGATGATCCGTACGAGGAGCAGACATAAACTTACTCACAATCTGAACTGCATAGGCAATATCAGGACGAGTCGACGTCAGATAGATAAGGCTCCCCACCACACTACGATAATGTTTACCACCATCGGGCAAAAGATCACCAGACTCACGGCCGAGCTTCAAACCGAGCTCCATGGGAGTAGAAACAGCGGAGCACTCACCAAACCGAGAAGAGGCCAATAAGTCATCAATGTACTTACTCTGACATAACAGAATCCCTGCATTACTGCGTTTAACCTCAAGTCCCAGAAAATAGGAAACATACCCAAGCTCCTTAAGGCTAAACGAAGCATGAAGCCCTTTGGTAAGCTCAGTAATCCCCAAGGCATCATCACCAGTGACGATCATATCATCGACATACAATAAGAGCACCACAAGCCCACGAGAAGAACTACGTGTAAACATAGAGGGATCATTAAGACTCTGCTCAAAACCGAGAGCGAGAATAGTGGAATGAAACTTGTCAAACCATGCTCGAGGAGCCTGTTTCAGACCATAGAGTGAACGACGAAGTAAGCACACCTGGCCTGGCTCGCCGTAGGTATAACCAGGAGGTGGTTCCATATAGACAGTCTCCTTAAGCTCCCCATGCAGAAAAGCATTCTTAACATCAAGCTGAAACAAAGGCCAACCACGAATAGATGCCACAGCCAAGAGAGCACGAACTGTGACCATCTTCGCCACGGGGGCGAATGTCTCCTCAAAATCAATCCCATATTCCTGATAAAAGCCCTGAGCCACCACCCTAGATTTGAACCGCTCAATGGAACCGTCCGGTCGGACTTTAATGGTATAGACCCACCGAGAGCCAATAACGGGAACAGAAGGAGGAGGCCGAGGGACCATATCCCATGTATGGTTAGCATGGAGAGCATCAATTTCCTCCGTCATAGAATTATCCCAATCCGGATTCCCTTTAGCCTGGGAGTAACGAGTAGGAACGGAAATGGGATCAACACTGTAGGCCATATAATCAAGATGACGTACCGGCGGAACACCTCGGGTGCTGCGAAGTGAGCGTCGAGGTGGTGCCACTGGAGGAGGAGAGGGCGAAGGTGAAGCAGACGATGACTCGGCGGACGAGCTGGAAGGCGCGGGCGCGGGCGAGGGAGGGGAGTCGGGGGGTAGCTCGGGAGCTTCATCATCAAGGTATCCATCATCATCATCACCAAAAGAGGGCGGAGCAAGGGAAAGATTAAACAAGGGAGGGTCGGTGGACACAGAGGAAGACGAATGGTACATCAAATTCTCAAGAAACACAACATGACAGGCTATGCGAACATGACGGGAGGAAGGATCATAACAAAGGTAGCCTTTATGAATGTCACTATAGCCAAGGAAACAACACCGGACAGTTTTAGAAGTAAGCTTAGTGCGTTCAGATCGAGGAAGAAGAACAAAACAGACACACCCAAAGACGCGAAGACGGGAATATGGTGGGGGTTTGGAAAACAGGCGGAAGTAAGGGCTAGTTTGGTCTAGAAGAGGTGTGATCTAATAGTTGATAAGACGCACGGCAGTAGCAACAGTTTCAGGACAAAAGGAGGACGGAACATAGGAGGAAAGCAGAAGAGCACGGGTGACTTCTAACACATGACGATTTTTTCTTTCAACGACCCCATTTTGTTGAGACACCCCAGGACAAGATTTTTTAGACAAAATCCCCATATCACGATAAAGTTGTAACAGAGGACCAGAACTAAACTCCCCTCCGGGATCAGAACGGACTACACGAACAGTTCTACCAAACTGGGTTTTAATCATAGCAAGAAACTCAGTGGCAACAGTCAAGAGATCAGACTTAAGCCGAAGAAAGTACACCCATGTATACCTCGTAGCATGATCAATGAACAGGGCAAAATATTTATAACCTAGTCGAGAAGTCGTAGGACTAGGCCCCCAAAGATCAGTGTGTACCAAAGCAAAAGGCTCAGAAATAATGGTAAGACTAGAAGGAAAAGAGATTCTCGTAGTCTTAGCCTCAATGCAACTAGTACATGAAAAATCCGACGAACACTGACCAAGGGTGTTCTCCCCAAATAACTGCTGTTTAAACATTGTCATAAGTCTACTAGAGTTTGGATGGCCTAACCGAGCATGCCATAAATGAAAGTTCTTAACAGGAAGACTCGAGAACACTGTAGGAAAGAAGGTAGCTGGTGATGACAATGATGATGAGGGACGCAACTGGTCAAGAACAAATAAGCGCCCCGTTTTGCTGCCCCTACCGATCTCCCTCCCTGTCTTCTGATCCTGAATAACACAGCCAGAAGGTGCAAAGGTAACACAATATCCCTGGTCAGTAAGCTGACCTACAGAAACCAGACTAGGCACCAACTTTGGCACATGATATGTAGACGGTAAAACAACATGAGAATCATGAACATTGCCCATGCCTGCTACGCTTAACTTCTCACCATTAGCGACTTGAAGAGATAGATCATTCACAGGTCGTAATTTCTCAAGCACAGAACTATCACCAGTCATATGATTGAAACACGCAGAATCAAGTATCCAGTGAGGAATCTTACCGGAAGCTTGAAGACTAGCAAAAGCGGTAGAAATGGCCTTGTTTACCATTTGCTCAAGAGCCGCGGGAGTCACCAGCATGCCTTGAGAGCCAGAAGCATCACCAGTAACCTGTGCAGCATAAGCAGAACGTGGCGCAGAAGAGCCTCCCCGAGAAGCAGCTCCATTTCCGCGACCCTCATCCTCGCGAGCTCGACCATTCCCGCGTCCCTCTTCTTCGCGGAATCTGCCCTCCAACGCAGGACAGCCTGAGATTATATGGCCAGTCTTTTTACAGTAGTGACAAAAATTCCTTTTCTTGCAGTACTTTTTCGTATGCCCCTTTTCATGGCAATGGAAGCATTCGACATCGGCAGCTGAAACTCGGCGCTGGAAGGAGGGCCGATACGCTGCATAGGCCGAGTCTCCTAGCTGCTCAGCCTGGTCCCGCGACGTAGAAGAACGATGGCCGCCTCCACCTGAAGAAGCCCGCGGTGGCGAGCTGTGCGAGGCGCTAAACACAGCAGCCCCGTCGCCGGTACCAGGTCGGATATCAATCGCCGCCTGGGTTCGCAGCCTCGTCTCCTCCTGGACCAAAGCGCTAAGAACCCCTTCAGGCCTCAAGTTCTCTCTGTTCAGCAAGGAAGCACAGATGGGTTCGAACTCCTGATTCAGCCGCATCAGGAATTGCATCAGCCGAATCTTCTCTCTTTCACGGCGAACTTCCGCCGAACCAGCAGTGGAGAGAAGAGAGAGCAGCACGAGGTCTTGCTCAGTCCACAAGTTACGCGCAGCATTATAGTAGGACGTGACGTCCATGCTGCCTTGATAGAGAGAGGCTAGTTCCACCTCTATTTCATACTGCCGATAGGCAGTAGCTGTCTTGTATGTGTCCGCCAAATATTGCCACATTGCAGCAGCAGTGGGAAGCATGCGAAGCCCAAGTATGATCGTGGCATCAACAGAGTTGAGGAGAAGCATACGAACCTTAGCATCATTCAAAGCCCACTGTTGTACCTGATCGGCCGAGGCAGGAGGAGAAGCCGGCCGATCAACAGTTCCATCGAGCCAACCGAGAAGCCCTTTCCCTTCAATCAACGTTCGAAACTGAAACTCCCATATGGCATAGTTCTTGGAGTTGAGACGAGCAGTAATCTGATCAGAGGTCATAGGCTCTGATACCATGTTAATCGAAACAGGAATTGAAATCAACACACAGATTTACGTGGTTTCCTCGTTCTGTATGAACGAGACTAGTCCACGGCCGAAGCTAGGTTTTCTCTTATTCAGCTTAACCTTACAGGTTCACTTACATGCATATTTATACAAACTAGGGTTGAAACCCTAGATCACTTACTTGGCTAACCCTAAGTCACTTACACTAATCAACCGTGACTAGGGTAGTGGGCCGAAGCCCATACATACTGCTCAACACTCATCGCCGCCACGGCGGTCGACGAGGGGAACTCCGATTCCGCCCTCGAGAACCTCGCCGAGCTCTACCGGACCGTGTCGCTGGTGGGCGTCTCTGTTCAGCGGGTCGTCGACTCGTCGCCCACTTCGCCGACGGATTGTACAAACAAAAAAATATAAAATTCAAATTACAAAAG